AGTCTTCATTTAAATTATACATTTTTTAATATGTTCGTATTACTGATTTTGCTCTCTTTTTTTTTTCTTGCTGTAGTTTCTCCCCATGATTACTGTTTTGTGTTTTATTTGTTTAATTATTTAGCAATTGTACTTTAACAATGTCCAAAGACTTAAGTAATGAAAATTAATAAGAAAATATTGGTTTTACAGTTAGAAGTTTATGTTAAATTATTCCAATAGAAATTCTGATTCTACTACTGGATGGACAAGTTACAATAATAATAATACCAATCATATTATTATACTCAAGCTACAAATTATAGAACAAAGCACTGATTATTTAGATATCATTGGCCAACAGGGAAGAGAAAAAATTTAGTTTAAAATTTATAGTTTAATAATTTAGTTTAGGAACTGTAAACACAGTTAATACACATAAGCAAGATTATTTGTAGTTTAAATTCAGTTAATGGATGTTAAAAATTATTAAATTCACCCTTTCATACATTTTTTTTAACTTGTAATCTAAATAATTGTTTAAACAGAGACCTACTTATAAGCTTTGCTTATCCACAGACAAAACATTCAAATGAAAAACTTAATGATTTTTAAAATAAAATTTGTAACTTAAAATCCTCACCTTTTCAGAATCTATTTTGTCATACAATTTTAAAACTAGAAGAACTCGATCACGAATCATTTCTAGAGTCAAAGGAGGTTTCTCGCTGAAGCTACGAACACTAGCCAGTGACTAAAAAAAGAAAAATGAAAACAGCTTACCAACACACTTCACACAGTTTTTTATATCTTTAGAATTACAAATATATTTTCTTTAGCACCTGTAAAAGATGTTTGACTAACAAATTGCTAAACTGGGTTTAGAAAAGAAGCCTTTGCTATTTAAAATTTTTTTACATTGATGAGCAACCACTAACTCCAAGATACTCCAGTAATATTGAGAATGAACCCTGTAAGTTTGGTTTCACTAAAAGTTACTTAAAATGTCAAGTCTCAAATTAACAACTACCTGTTATCCCCTTACTACACTAAGATTTTTGTTTGTATCACTGAACATATTGCTTTATAAACTTTTAGTATCCAACCTGATAAAAACAAACCCACTGAAGTAAAAATTTTCATAAAAATTGTACAGATAAGAAAAATTTAAATATATTACAAAATATTACACATAATAATGTTGCAGTAGTATAATAATGTAAGTTAACACTGTAAGTCTGATCAGTATTTACATTTTTAGCATTTACATGAAGTTCAAACAGGTATTGAAACAAGAAATTGGGTCAAGCAGGGTAAGTAACACAAATGATGAAAAACAATGGTTACCTTTTCTCATAGCCAAAGTCTTTGGTAGGAAGGTTCTTTCAGGATGTATGCATACAGAACCTTCACACAGAAAACAAAAAAGGAGTATGAGAATCATCAAAGGCATAAATGTTACATCTCCTACCTGAAGTGGATAACAGAAGAAAATACGTCTTTAGTGAAAAATGGTAGTGCAAGCAAGTCTCTCAAAGTTCAAAGTGAGGAGAAGCAAGACATTGTAAAACAAAATCTTAGTCCAATTGAAGATAGTGTCTAGAGACTTGAGCACAAAGTAAGATCACTAAAAAAGTGAGCATAAAAGAAAGAGAAAGGTGGCATCAGTGCCAAGTAAATGCTGCACAGGTAGCAGCTCTATAGATTGCAACAGAAGAAGCACATAATCCACAATCATGAAAAAAGAACTAAAAAATGAAGCAAATTGTTGAGGAGTTTGAGAAAAAGACAAGAAACACAATTTCTAACACACAAATTCCTGAATATAACCCAGCAAAAAATGTGATAACATTCAAGCTATTTGAGAAGAAAATCCATCCTCTCTAATAAAGGGCCACATAACAGCAGTGAATCTGTAGACAATAAACACTGACATGGAAGATGGATGATCGAGACTGGAATAGAAGGTGTCTCCAAAGAGGAAGCAGAATGGGACTGAGGTAGACAATGCAGCAAGAGAAACCATTGTTGAGTTTGCCAGTAAGGAGTAATAAGGAGAACTTGACAATTTGTTAAATTTACCTTGGCCAGTATCTGAGGAAGATAAAAAGATGATTAGGCTCAAAGCATCCAATGCTAGAGAATCAAGACCTGGAACTGGAGACCAGTAAAGTGGATAAAAATGGTTGTCCATCATTCCAAAGACAACAATAAGAGGATGACCAGGCCATTGGTACAATCTCTAAAAAGCTAAAGGATACAAACATGCTGAATTTCCCAGAGGTCCAAAAGACCAATGGGAGATTCTGATTCCTGAGGAAACCAGGAACCTGAAAGGCAATGTGAAGGTGTGCAGATCTGTAAGAGATGGAATAAAATGTAAATTCTTGTATGCTTGAATAATGAAGGTAATTGAGTAGTGGGAAGGGAAAATTCCCTAACATAATGGGTCTCAAGATAAGATGCTGCTGAGAAGTGAGATTCCATTGGAATTGTCACACGTGAGCACATTCCAATGAAACAACTTTGTGAAGTGAAGCCATTGTCCCCAAAGCATGAAAAGCAATCTTGGCAGTAAAATGGACATAGAAGAATATGAACATGATACTCAAAGTCTTCCTATGCTACATGAGCCAGTTGAAGTGTTCCTTGAACTGTGCTGGACCAAAATCCCAGATGTAAAAAATAGTGTTAGTACTGATTGATTGAATGTAGAGTTGAGGATATTCCATTAAAGAAATATATTCATCTGGGTGGTCAAATGAGTATATGTAGAAGACTGGGTGGATATAATGATCAGAAAAAGTTAAACATCCATGTAAAAGTCAATGACAAATGAATGGAGAAAAGCTCAAGCAAAACTAGACAAATCGATAGAAAATATATGAAGTCAAAGGTAAGAAAAGGGCAGTGGAGTGATAAACTACCCACAATGACAAAGAAAATATGGGATAACAGATGAACAAGATATAAAGTTATACAACTCATATATTGATCACCATCATCCAACAACCACAACAATGAAACTTTCATAGCAACCTCATGTATTTCAACTGAAAATAATGTCTCCATGAAAATATGAATTGAGACAGACCCCAAAATGACTGATTTCCACAGAACCTTAAAGAGATAAGAGAGAAAAAACCTAGAAAAGTGAGTTAAACAATTTAGCTTGATCATTTCTGATGGAAATTTGCGACTTCTTGGTTCAGAAATTTTTGAGCTATAGGATCCAAAGAAAGAAGACATTAAGACCAGACTGAATGAGGATTTGTAAAGTCCAAGGATAACAAAGCCTAGGTCCAACATATGAACTAATGATCCAAGATATCCCTTCCCCCGAATGAAAAAAAGACAGATTCATCTGGAACAGAAAGGAATAAAATGGGTCAACAAGTTCCACCTTGTTACACCTACTCACTGGCTACTCATTAGGTCCAAAAGCAACGAGTAGTAGCAAATGACAAGACACAGATGAAGGGGAAAACAGGAGAATGAAAAGTAGCTGTTGGTCTTCTCAAAAGAAACTTTGAATACATGGTTGTTGACAGCATGATAATAACTCAACAAGGCTTTTGATAATTCTGAGGTGAGTCTACCTGATTTATAGACAAACTTAAATTACAATAACAAAATTACTACAAGAAATTGAAAAAATATAGTATGGTAGCTAATTATATAGTTATGATGTTTTTCTAAGTTTGCCTTTATATGGTATGCAGTCATACCATGTATTTTCTACCTTCTAATATAAATATAATTTTGTTTGTTTGTTCTAGATATGCTCAATTTACACATAACATGGTCAAAAATATTTCTAAGTTAATTTATTCTTTGTCATCCCTTTGAGATAAAACCTGGTATGACCCATGGAGAAGTTTTAGCAACACCTCATATAAAAAATTTTTTTAAATAATATATCAAAGAATTCTTACAAAGTATAAAGTTTCTGTTTAATCTTGAAGTTAATATTGCAAATGTAAGGAAAAAAAAAAGAACAATTATGGTTTTTATTATTTTTGAAGCATAACAAAGGATTCTGAGCGTTATGTAAATGAAAATTCCAAAATTATGTATATCTGTAAACAACAGCCATGTAATTCTTTAGACACTGAATCGTATGAAAATTTGGCCAGACATCTGGGGACTACCTAGGACTCTGATAAAAACTAATGTTAACATTTTCCTTACCTGAAAATGTATTTCTGATAGATACTCTCCTCCTCACACAATAGCTTAATCCCTCACACATCTGTCTAAGATACTTGCAAAGACATCAATGAGGTGTATGCCCAAAAGAGAGCAAACCCAATGAATAATCCAAGGGTGGGGAGACCATTCTGTGTGTAGAATCTGGTTCAGCTGAGAGAGATGATCTACCACCAGGTTCAGAGCTCCCACCACATGATAAGCTATGAGACACATCCAATGGGAATGAGCTCAAACTAGTGGGTCCAAAGTGTGGAAATAAAAATAGGCACTCTCCTTATGGTTGGTATAAGAAACAACCATGGAACTGTCTGAGTGGATTATGTCCAACTGATCTATGAGAAGAGGGAGGAAATGGGAATTGCAAAATGTTCAAGTATGTTGACGTGAAGCAAACAATACCCCGGAACCCACATGCCTAAAGTTATGTCATCATTCAGATACATAATCCACCCTGACAGATAAGCACCTGTGAAAAGATGGAGATCCAGTCAGAGAATACCCACTGTGGTATGGGCATGGTTGAGCCACCAAGACAAGTCCTAGAGAAGAGGTGAGGGGAAATGCACTATCGAGGATAATGATCCCAAGAAAGATTACATTAGTATCATAATGTCCATCAGAGGAGGTGCATGTGTATGCAGCCTAAGGGAATGAGTGGTTCTACTGAAAGCAGAGTTCCTAGAAGCAAAAGAACCTCTCGTGTATGGTATAAATGAGAAGCGTAAATCTTGGTGACAAGATATTCTATTGTTCATAGGTGAAGGCTAATCCCAAATGAGATGGGAACTGAAGAACATGTCCAGATGTACAAATATTAGGTAGGCATGAGAAGACTTGGAATTCTTGACTATTTAGCCCAGTTGAGCAGTCTCCTGCAGAAGAATGGAGGTGTGAGAGGAGTCCTCCCAAGAACAGGAAAGAAGAAACCAATCATCCATGTAATAATGGAACCTCAGCCTCAATCATTGAATATGGTGGGCAAATGCCCCCATGTCTCAACTGAAGATGCAAGGAGCAGATACAATGCCTAAGGGAAGAGTAAGGCACTAAAAGACTTGATTCTATTAGATGAAACAGAGAAAATGTTTAAAGGATGGACCAATGAGCCAGGCATGACAGAATAATCACCAACATGAAGTGGGAGGATAAGAAGAAAAAGAATTGGAAGAAGAGGCATGGATTGAGCAGGCTTAGAAACAGAAGGACAAGGCTGAGAAAGATGATAAACCAAATAATACAACGATGACTAATGCCTGGCCACCTCGACCTGGGTCTCCAAGGAGTCAGAAACATCACCAAAGATTTCTGGGCAAAAAATAGGTGTTTGACATAGATCACAGAAATAAGAGAGAGACAAGTGAACATTAGTTAGGAGAGCATCCAGACTCAACAAGTCCCAACAGCAGAGGAGACAAGTAATGACAGATATAACAGAAAACATAGTACAGCTAAAGTGTTGAAAAGAAGAGAACGAACCCCTCCAAAATCTGTTCAGAAGCATAATGAAGTTCCTCAGATATAAGGTGAAGGGATGAGATGTGA